TCTGTGTGAGGGGGTCTGTGTGAGGGGGTCTGTGGGGTCTGTGTGAGATGGGTTTTGGGGCTCAGTCCAGGGTCTGTTACCCCCTGTGAGGTTCCCCCCAATGCCCCCCCATTCCCCAGGGACCCCTAAAGATCCCCATTCCCTGGGCCCCCCGAGGCCCTTCGTTCCCGAGGTTCCCCCTCAGGGCCCCCCTTTCCCCGGGCACTGCCTGTGGCTGCAGATCCCGGGGCTGTTCCCACTGCAATTCCCCTTTTCCCAGCGGTGCCAGGACCCTCCGCTCCCTGTGGAATGTGGGGTGCTCCTGGGGGGGCTCAGGAGGGTCTGGAGGAGTTTGGGGTGAAGGAAACCCCCCCAGTCCCTCGGGATTGCAGTGTGGGAGTGGGAAGGTTTGATGTGGAGCCGAGGTGGGAATGAGTCAGTAATTAGCACCCGGGCTAATTGGGGGAGCTCATTAGGGCTGGCAGGGACAGAGCGGGGTTGGCACGGCCAGGAATTCCTGGGTCCTGCATCCAGGGGAGGCCCAGCACCTTCCAGCAGGGAATTCCTGCTGCTGGGAATTCTGTCAGCCCTGGTTAGTACAGTTCGTGAATAATTAATTAATGGGATCAATTCTCTGTTAATTAATTACTAATTGGGGGGAGCTCGTTAGGGCTGGCAGGGTTGGCAGGGCTGGATATCCCCAGTCCTGGATGCAGGGAAGGCAGAGCCCTTTCCAGCCGGGAATTCTGCCTGCTGGGAATTCTGTCGGAGCACGGCCCACCCCTGTTAGCACAGTGTGTGAATAAACAATGGGATGGATTAGCTGTTAATTAATTCCCTTAATTAAGTTAACAAACCCCGGTTAATTAAGGGGGTCCAGGCCGTACCTGTGTGGGCTCTGAGGGGTCCCGGGGGCTCTGCTGGTGCCATCCCTCGCTCCGGGGGCTGCAGGAATTCCAGGATCCGGACTGGTTGGGTGGGGATGGACCTTCCCACGCCATTCCCGGGCCGTGGGGTCCTGGCAGGCCCCAGTTCCACGCAGCATTTTCGGGTTTCCGTGTCCGTCACCCAAAATTCCGGGTGTGCTCGTGTCCATCGGGAATTCCCGGAGCCCGGGGCTGTCCCACGGCGCCTTCCCGGGGCTGCTGGAGGCTCCGGGTGTTTGAGCACCTGCCCAGGTGACCTTGGAGCGATTCCTTCATTCCTTCCTCCCTCTGCTCCCGGAGCCGTCGCCTCCCTCAGGGCTGCGGGATTAAACCCGGGGATTGGATTCCTTTGGTGTGTCTGAGGGGGAAAACCGGGAATTTTAATGGATTTCAAGCTGAGCAGCTGTTGGGGCTGCCCAGGAGGTCACGTGTGACTGATGATCCAGAGCCCCAAATTCCACCCCGATGCGGCAGAGGAAAATTTCGGGGGGTTTTGCACCCATTCCTGAGCTTTCCAGACTGCCCTGTTTGCTGGAAAAATGCCTGAGGAATGGAAAACAGCAGGGCAGGACATGGGTGGTGGGGATGGTAGGGGTGCAGGAGCTTGGGGGGCAGTGCCCCCCGGCTGGATCGGCCCCTCAGCTCTGCAGCCAGCTATTCCAGGGATTGGGGTGCTCCAGGGATTGGGATGTTGATGGAATGGGGTTTATGGATTATGGAATCCCTGGGTATTCTCCCCACACCCCCCCCCGCCCTCCTTTACCTGCCCTCTGAGGGAGGAGGACGGCCAGGAATTCCGTAAGGAATGAGGGAGAGAAGTTGCGGGCTGGGAATTGCTCGGAGCGGGATCCCGGGGGGTTTGTGAGGGAGGAAATCCGGGAGCTGCTGCTCCCGCAGCCGAGCGAAGTCCCGCAGGGAACGGGCGGTTCTGCCGTTCCCCTTCCCCGAGCGATGGAGCGGAGCAGGGACGCGGTTAAATCGGCTTTCCTGGGAATGATCCCACCTGGAATCGGCCGGGAATGCCAGGGGGGTTGGATGAGCTGGAATCACTGACCTCCCGCCGCGTCCTTGGCGTGTCCGGGCGTTGCTGTGGCTGCGGAGCATCGATCCCATCCCGGGTCCCTCCCGAGCTGGGATTGCGGAGGGACCCGCGGGGGCTGCGGTGCCGCGGAGATCCGGGAGGGCGCAGAATCCAGCGGCTCAGCCGGGTCCTAGTGCCGGGATCAGCCCCACCTGGAGAGGGGGGGGCTCAGCCTGGAGCAAAGGAGGCTCAGGGGGGACCTTCTGGCTCTGCAACCCCCTGACAGGAGGGGGGAGCTGGGAGGGGTCGGGCTCTGCTGCCAGGGAACAAGGGACAGGAGGAGAGGGAACGGCCTCCAGCTATGCCAGGGGAGGCTCAGGTTGGATATTGGGGAAATTCCTTCCTGGAAAGGGCTGTCCAGCCCTGGCACAGGGGTGGAAACACAATCCCTGGGGGGATTTAACACCCTGTGGATGTGGCACTTGGGGACATGGTCAGGGGTGGCCTTGGCAGTGCTGGGCAGTGAGTGGACTTGGGGGTCTCAGAGGGATTTTTCACCCTAAGCTGTTCCATAATTCCATGGGAATCGGGGTGTGATCCCTGCAGGGAGTGCAGTGCTGGCCTTGGTGACACCCTGTCCCCCCTCAGGTTGTTCCCAGGTGACCTGGCTGAGGAACTTCATCTTTAGGTGCTGGATGTCCCTAATTTGGGGGGGCTGGTGAAGCCCCTGCATCCCTGAGCTCTGTGGCAGGAGAGGGACTTTGGACAAGGGATGGAGGGACAGGGCATAGGGAATGGCTTCCCACTGCCAGAGGGTTAGATGGGATATTAGGAAGGAATTCCTGCTGTGAGGGTGGGGAGGCCCTGGCACAGGTTGCCCAGAGAAGCTGTGGCTGCCCCTGGATCCCTGGAAGTGTCCAAGCCCAGGTTGGATGGAGCTTGGAGCAACCTGGGCTGGTGGAAGGTGTCCCTGCCCATGGCAGGGGGTGGCACTGGATGGGCTTTAATGTCCCTTCCCACCCAAACCATTCCATGACTCCTTCATTCTGTGATTCCCCTCCTCAGGCAGAGCAGAGCCCAGGCTGACTTTTGGGGTCCCTGAGGGGTGTGCAGGGCTTAGAGAGGAATTAAAAGTCTCAAACTCATCATTGATTATTGACACAACAACCACCAAACCCCAAGTGCTGGTTTAGAATTTCTCTCCTGAACTGAGTTTTCTGGCAAACTCATCTGATCCCAACCCCAAAGTCCCCTTTGTGAAGGGATTTCATGGGGGACTGGGTGTATAAAATATGTATAAATGCAATAAGGTGGAATTTTTTCTTGTGCTGGATGAATAGCGGGAGATTCTGAAGGGTTTTAACCTCCTGTTCTGTGTGCTCCCTGAGCTGGGGGTGTTCCATCTGGGTTTATCCCAGATCCCAGGGAAAAGCCTGGAGCATCAGGTGGGATGTTTTTGGGGCTTTTTCGCCTGTGATGAGGAGTTTCAGGGAGAGTTTGGGCACAAGAAAATCCACGTGGGTCCTGCAGAGCAATGGCTGGAGCGGTGTGTGGGGAGATCCGTGTCCTGGGCAGTGGAGTGGGTGGGATGGGTGGCACTGGGGATCCCTGGAGGTCTGTGACACCTCCTGCTTCCTCCCAGGGTCGCCCCAAGCCCGGCCAGGTGTGACCCCCGTGTGTGGAGGATGCTCCAGGCTGCTCCAGAGACTCTCTGAGTGGCAGTGGGATCACCCAGCAGCACTTGGGGTACGTGGCATTCCTGATAAATCCCCAAATTCCTGGGAAGGGGCTGGGCTGGGGTTCTGCTCCCTGTGACAGTCCTGTCCCCGCTGTGCCCGCCCTGCTCAGAACAGCAGTGCAGTTATTGCCCAGGATTAATCAGAAAGTGGGTGTGTTTCCATGGAAAATGGGACACTGGAGTTTCTGGGAGCCTCAGGAAGGTTTGTTCACCCTGGGGATTTCTGTGCCTGGAACAGCTGCTCATCCTGATGTGGCTCTGCCTGACTTTGGGGAAAAAATGGAATTGTTTTCCTCAGCACAGAGCAGGTTTGGGCCCAAATCCACAGGGGCTGTGCTGAGGCTGGAGCAGCCAAAGCCCCTTGGTGGTTGGGGTGTGCCTGGAATGCTCTGGAGCATCTCACAGTGCTTTAATAACTCCCCAAACCTCCCCTGTCCCCGTGATTCCAGCACTAATAAAGCTCCTGTCCCACCCTAACTTCTTGTCCTGGGCTCAGGATGCTTGTGGGTCCCTTCCAGCTCAGGGCATTCCGTGATTCCTTCCCCCAAGGGTTCCTGTCCATGCACAGGGCAGGCAGTAAATAAACCAGGAGATGGGGAGTGGTGCTTGTGGCTTTGTTATGTTGGGAAATGGGATCTCCCTGGTGGTGCCAATGGGATACCCACCAAAACCAGGGATTTAATGTCACTTCCATGACTTACTTCCAAAGTCTCTTGGTTTATTTTTTGTGTTTATACCCAATTTAGTGTGGCTTTAGGAATTCCCAGTGCACAGGGAATGTTGGGACCTGTGTGGCCTTGTGGTGCAAGGCTGTGGGGACCCCCCAGCGCTGCAGCCAAGCACCCTCTGAGGGGTCTCCAAGGTTTTAATTCCAGTTTAGCTCCAAGTGACCTAAAACTGGGGCTCTCCCCCCTTTTTGGCAGCATCTGTCCAGGCTGATAGGCTCCACATAGCCAGGGAATCCCTGTCCTTTGGGGCCACCAGGGCCTGGATTGGAACGGGAAACGGGTTTGGGTTTTCACAATGATGGAGTCGCCGTCCCTGGAGGGGTTTGGGTTGGATATTGGGAAAATTCCCCCTGGAAAGGGCTGTCCAGCCCTGGCACAGCTGCCCAGGGCAGGGGGCAGTCCCCATCCCTGGGGGGATTTAACACCCTGTGGATGTGGCACCTGGGGACACGGTCAGGGGTGTCCCTGGCAGTGCTGGGGGACTTGAGGGCTCAGAGTGATTCTCCAGCCTAAGGATTCCCTGATTCTGTGATTCCATGGCTGTTTTCAGCACAGGTTGCCCAGAGAAGCTGTGGCTGCCCCATCCCTGCAAGTGTCCAAGGCCAGGCTGGACAGGGCTTGGAGCAACCTGGGACAGTGGGAAGCAGGGAGTGGCACTGGGGGGTCATTGAGGTCCCTTCCAACCCAAACCGTCCCATTATCCTACAAAATTGTGTTTCTGTGGGAAAAATTGTCTCATGCTTTAGGTTTAACGTGGAAAACTCTGGGGAGGAGGGAGAAGGAACCGTGTGGTATTTGTTTATTTTTGAACAAAGAACTGCTCTTCTGCTCCACCTGGGAGCAAGGCCTGGCTGGTATTTCCTGGTGTTCCCCTTGGTTTGGCTCTGTCCCGCTGTGCCCAGGGCTCTGTGGGAAGAGCAGTGGTGAGTTCCCATCCTCTGGGGGGGTGGTATCCCAGGCCCCCCCACTCCTGGAGCTGCCAGAGCACTCCCCCTTCCTCCCTGTCTGAATTCCTCACGAGATTCTGTGACTCTTTCCATGTTTTCCTTGCACTTGGAGGGAAGTTTCTTTGAGTCCCCTCTTGGCATTCCAGCCCCTCCTTGGAACACAACTGCCGTGGGGTGAGCACCCTCCAAATGTTTGTGCCCCAGGCCCAGGGCTGTGTCCCAGTCCAGGCTGCTCCCTGGGTCTGGGACTGGCTGCAGGGGACAGGAACAGCAGAAATCCTTTAGGGTTTAGAAATTAGGAAGAAATTCCTCTCTGTGAGGGTGGGGAGGCCCTGTCCCAGGTTGGGCAGAGAAGCTGTGGCTGCCCCTGGATCCCTGGAAGTGTCCAAGGCCAGGTTGGACGGGGCTTGGAGCACCCTGGGACAGTGGAAGGTGTCCCTGCCCACGGCAGGGGGTGGAGTGGGATGGGCTCTGAGGTCCTTTCCCACCCAAACCATTCCAGGATTCTATAAACAGGTGACAGAGGTGATATTCCCTCCCAGATTCCCAGGGAAGCACTGGCAGCTTCCGATGCCGGAGGAGGTTCTTCCCTCTGGGGATAAAATCACTCAGATTTTCTAAAAGGGAAGAATTTTGCTTTAATACTTACCACGGAATCACGGAATGGTTTGGTTGGGAAGAGACCTTAAATCCCAGTGATTCCAACCCTGCCATGGGCAGGGACACCTTCCACTAGCCCAGGTTACTCCGAGCCCCGTCCACCCTGGCCTTGGACACTTCCAGGGGTGGGGAAGATACTGGAGAGACCCTGTGGATCCTGAGTGGAGCAGGGAGCCCCAGCATGTGCTGGGCCTGGGAGAGACCTGAGGGGGAGTCTGAGGGCAGGGGGGGTTTATTTTGGGGTCTCTCTGTCCCACAGCCGTTGGGTTTGGGTGCCACGGGACCAGGACACCCCCTGCTCCCAGTGCCCATCTGTGCTGGGTGTTCAACTGCTTTGGGTGTGTTCCACTGTCTGGACAGTGCAGGCTTTGGCACTGAATGTCCTGGTTGTCCCTGGAGCTGAGGGGAAAGGGAAGGAGCTCGTTCTCTTTGTAGCTTTTTGGAGACTTTTGGATTTTGTGGATTTTGTGTGTGTGACGTTTCCCTTAAACCAGCGTGGAGAGGGGGAGCAGCTGGAGCTCTGCTGACCAGCGGGGCTCTGGGGTGGCTCTGCTGGGGGTCTTGGTGGCTCCAGTGAGAAATCCCCCTTTTCCAGCGGGGTTTGGTGTTGTTTATCCCAGCTGTGTGTTGTTAAAGCTCATTCCCTTCAATACCATTGCTGTGTCCTCGATGGCCACCAGCTTCATCCTCTCCCTGACTGTGCCATGCTTGGTGCCATGGCTGCTTTTCTGGGGCACATCCATGGTTTCCTCACTGTTCTCCTGGCTCCTGAAGCCACATTCCAGCTCAGGTGCTGGTGTTGGGTCACTCGTCCAGCCTGGAGGAGGCTGAGGGGACACTCACAAGGGGCAGCTCCGACCTCTGCTCCGTGTGACAGGGACGGGATCCGAGGGAGCGGCTGGAGCTGTGTCAGGGCAGGCTCAGGTTGGATCTCAGGGAAAGGTTCTTCCCCCAGAGGGTGGTTGGCACTGCCCAGGCTCCCCAGGGCAGTGGGCACAGCCCCAAGGCTGCCAGAGCTCCAGGAGGGTTTGGACAATGCTCTCAGGGACAGGGCGGGATTGTTGGGGTGTCCTGGGCAGGGCCAGGAGTTGGACTGGATGATCCCTGTGGGTCCCTTCCAGCTCAGGATATTCCATGGCTCTGTGGTTTGGGGGTGGTTCCGTGTGTCAGGGTTCTGGGGGGACACGCTGGGCACGGGATCCTGGGATGGGGGTGTCAGTCCTGGTGGCTCCCGAAGCCCCGTTAGCCTGATCAGCGCTGGGATGTTAATTTGGGATCTGTCACTCAGCCAGGAACGGGACAATTAGTGATTGTCAACAACGCCCCTAATTAACCCCTTGGGCTCCGCTCACCTGTGCCTGGGGGGAGGTTGGCACTGCTCCGGGGGGCTGTTTTTCCTCAAATTCTGCCGTGGAGGGAAGAGCAGGACATGGCTGTGTGCGGGCACACCTTGGCTGTGTGGGCACACCTTGGCTGTGTGTGGGCACACCTTGGCTGTGTGTGGGCACACCTTGGCTGTGCGGGCACACCTTGGCTGTGTGTGGGCATGACGCCGCGGTGACGGCCGGGGGGTCCCGGTCGGGGGCAATGCGGGGTGTCCCTGCCCGGTGCCCGCAGCGGGAGGAGGCTTGGAATGCCGTGGGAGCCGTGGCTGTGCCCTGGCCGAGCCTGCTCCTGCTCCTGCTCCTGCTCCTGCTCCTGCTCCTGCTCCTGC